CACGCAGCTCGCAGCAGCAAAGAGAGCCCTATCCATAGCCACACCAGGTCTGCAGAGGCCCCAGGGGAGGAAAGCAGGGGGGAGCCTGCACCTGCCCCACCCCACATACAGATCTGGGGGTGTAAGGCCCCCCTGCCCCTTGGGGGTGCACGCAGTGGTGTGGAGCCGGCCCTCCCCTTCCTGAGCTCGCAGCAGGCACCAGGCGGGAGTGGGGACAGAGGGCTTCAGTCCATAGCCCTGGCAGCTGGGGGCCTTCTCCTGCAGGGTTGGGGAAGTGGGGGAAGTGAGACGCACAAGCAGGGCCAAGGGGATGTGGGGGAAGAGGGGCATACAGCAGGGCCAGGGGGGCCCGTGGGGTGCCTTTAATTTTAATTGGGGTTTTTTAAATCAGAGAACTTGCATTTTTTTTTAAACCAATCAGAGAAAACCAGGATCCCTGGTCATGAGATATTCCTAACTGGATTGAAGACTGAATAGCCACCTGTAAGACAAGACTGAGTCAGCCAGTACAGAGCCACCAGAATGATTATGGCTTTGTTTCTGATTATTTAAAATCACCATGAGAAGGGGGAAATTGTGGAAGAAGTCAACAACTAGTCTAATTGTTAAAGGAGAAAGATAACCAGTAACAACCACTGATCTGGGCTGGGCTGCCTCAAACATTAGTTGTCCTTGGTATAAACATGAGGCATCCTCAGTGATGGAATAACACATCATGAGGAATTTATGCAGGGGGCATTCATGGATGGCTACTGACTGCAGACTAAAGCAGCCTAGAGTACCAGCTCCCAGAAGTCAGGACCCACTGGTGTTTCCTATTCTGACAGCATCAGTTCCAGAAATCAATGACTTCCTGACAAGGAGTGGGTGCGCTCTTGATTTGTTTGTGTAGTATAGTGATTCTCAAGGGTGTCAGGGAACCCTGGAGTACTTTGACAGCTTTTGAAGGATGCCACCAAGAGAGGAGGTAAGCAAGATAATTGCAGGCTCCTGTGAGGAGCTAAGTGCTGCCTCTTTTCTTCATATTGACCAAGCTAACACCCCCACCTTCTCATCCTACCACCATGGCTCCCAAAAACTGACAACACAAAACAAAAACAAAATTAAAAACACGAAACCTATAAGCATGAAGGAAGACTTATTCTCTCATGTCTTTCTTCTATAGAAAGATATAATAACTTAAAGTACCAAGACGCACATGTATCCGCTCTTGTTAATCTTGTCCTTACCACCCATGCCATATCTCACACTTCAGTTTGCAAGATCTCTGGGGCAGGTATGTGTATCTGTATGCAGTGTCTAGCACACTTTAGGCAGCTATTAAAATAATAGTCAATATTCTTCTGTTGTTGTTAGGGAGTGATGCACTTACGTACGTGAAACATGATCCTTCCACAGACAACAGTGCTTGTATTTGGGCTACAGGAACAGCAGCTTACTACATGCACTTATGGCAGCAGACGAAAGAAAAAGTTTCACACCAAACTAAGACCCTATGTCTTCATAGATGTTTCCACCCTAAAAGCGTGAATTCAAATTTCCGTTCACTATTTCAAGACTTACCCAGAAAAGCCAAACTCTTTAATTGCATTTGAGAGCCAGTTCAGGGTTTCTGACTGGTTTTTAGGATTCTTCTGTGAGAAAGCCATGGCCATAACCTAGAACAGAAGGGAAAATTTGCATCTTTATCCCACTAACAGGCTACGACAAACCCATAAACAGAAACAAAACACCCACTAAGATTTTGCAGAACACTTAACTGGATCTCAGGCATAAGAAGAAAAGTCTTCCATGTGAATGGTACTGGTGTTCCCCACTCCCTACCTCCCCCAATGTTGAAGTCCTACTGTGACTCACTGACCTGTTCAGCAGTCCACGGCAACTGACATGCCTCTGCTATTGCTGTCATAGCTTCCTTTGCATTACTCCCACATTTTACATCACCAATCTTGTCCACAAGACCATCCAACACAATTTGTGCTGATGTTTTGGAGAAGTTTCCTTTCTGTGCAATCAGGGCAACTATGTGAAGCTTCATCTGCATCACCTGGAAAGGGCAAAACAACACTAAGTAAATTCACTTGTGCTACTACATATTCTAGTCTGGGCTACAGGGTAGTTCAAACTGACTTGAAATCCTGTCAAATGGAATTGGGCTACCTCCCCAAATGTAGTAAATAGGTTCACAAACACTTTGGACTCACATTAGTATCTAGTGCAGTGGTTCCCAACCTTTTTTTTGCCGCGACCTGCTGCTTGGAGCAGAGTGTGGGGCCCAAAGGCAGGGGAGCTCCCAGCAGATGGCACAGCTTGTCCTGCAACCCTCATTTGGGTCGCTACCTGAGGTTGGGAACTGCTGATCTAGTGGAATACAGGATTAAAATCCTTGTTTCTGACATGTTAACATGGCTCATCTTAAAACCTAGTTTACCATGCATTATGGAAAGCTTTTAACATATCATTCAGCTTGAGCAATAGAATTAAGCCATCAACTAGCTTAACAATTTTCAGACACAATGACATTCGAAGTACCTCATAAAAATGGCAATACTATTCCCATTATACAGATGGAAACAAAGACCAGATCAGCATCCTGGTATAGCTGGCAAGTTTCTGTGGTAACAATGAATCTTTTGAATTCTAGTCACCTACCGTTCTGACTGGACTGCTGTCTTGTTTGAACTTGGGAGAAAAGCACAAATCCTTGAGTTGTACCATCAAATTCTTTTAGAAAATGTAGCTATGCCAATTTTGTGAAGAAAAGAAATCACTTTATAAAAAAAACTGATCTTCTGAGCTAATCTCAAAAGGAGAAAGGCACAGTTTCCTCTCATGCTTTCCAAAGGCTCTAAGACTGCTCTACATACATCCCTTAGTGAAATTTTTCTTTACAAAAAATATTCTCTATTATGAAGGTGAAATGTGTTCAAACTTGCTGAACAGAGTAAAAGCATCTTCAGCTCACCAATGAGCAAAGCTACTATTAAAAATGAAATGTTTTGGGTTTTTTGTTTTTTTTTAAATCATCACTGCTTGCAAAATGCAGCACCGTCAGCCACTGGCTTTAAAACCAAGCTACTGCATGATAAACTCCCCCAAATAAACCTGGAATAAGTTTATTTTCCACAAAAACCTAAATCTGGGCCCAAACAAAAGTAACAGTATTTCTTTAAAATAAAATCTCTTTAATATGAAGATGTTTACAATTGTACCCATATGACAAAAACCACAAAGCAAAACAAATTATTTGGAAGAGCATCTCATTTACATCAGAACCCTAGAGCAGACTATATGTTCAATTTAGAGTTTTAGTAGATAAGTTCCAAAATAACCAGCAGAAGTGAACTTACAGCTTATGTTCTACATATGAAGAACCTGCACAATAATGGGCAAGTGTAAGACTGTTCCAGCAAGGAACTGCAATCAATGATGTAAAACTGAAATTTTACCTGAAAGTTGGTTTCCTTCCACCCAGGTTTCTTGGCCAGCATCCTCACTAGAGCCTGGCAAGGCATTTCATTTTTTTCCATTAGTTCTACAGCCTGAAGAATGAAAATCAAATTAGCCATTAGATGCCAAATATGGAGAACAAATAGCTAAACAATTGTGAAACAAGTTTAAACCACTCTGGGCTTATCTACAAAGGGTTTACACTTCATAGTAAATCAAGATACTGCACACCTGAGACTTGCATCTACACAATAATTCCTCAGTAAGTAGTAACTACCAGAAAGAAACCTTGCCACACAAGACTAGAACTTCGTTTCAGCTTTATAGCTGCTGGACCCATACTGAAGTGAAACAGTTCAAACTGCCATTTAACTTATTTGTATTTATTTCCTTTAATAAATGTATATAGATATATAAGCAGCTGTGCCTAACAGCTCTTCTTTAGTGACAACATTTGTCATGGGAGCACAACTGAGTTTTCATCAAATAGCCAATGTTGCTTAAATTGAAAATGCAGATACCTCCCTATAAGAACAGAAACACAGACATCTTAAGATTAAGTCTATTAAGCAACTTTAGACATTCAAAATTCTAGAATGATCCAGAAAGAAAATCTGCAGTCCAACGAAATCCTGATGTCTTAACATTTGGATAAAAGTTCAACGTTGATTCAGATTTGCGATAATGAAGTGCAGCCATGCATGGTATATAAACCATATGATTTCAGTTAAGCATGTTTTATGGCTAATGCTAAAGCTCAATGACAACTGTAATACAAATGCATCAATTATTTGTGCAACTGGAGTACCTGCTTTTAAGTGCAAAACTCACAGTTAAAAAGGGTCACATGGCAGAAATGCTTGAATGGAAAAAAGCCAGGCTCCATACTAAATAGAGCTGTTTGTTGTACATGATGCTTTGTTTGAGCTCTTTCAAGAGAGACACTGGGGTTCTCATTAGCAGCTATGGAGGCTGATGTAATATGGTGTAATCAGATGGTGCTTACAGACCTACAAGTTTGCCAGCCAGGGTTTTGCATTTAAAACTGGTGCTGAACATTGAACAAGAAGAGATTTTAGTAGAGATTGTGACACACATTTCCAGGTCAGGACAACAGGTTTGATTCAGACTTGCCCTAGGCACAAATTTTGCTAGCACAGCTACCCTCATCAGGAGTTGGAAAAAGTCAGTGTTATGCCAGCAAAAATCCTAATATACTTTTTTTCTTTTAGTATAACTTTATGTATTTGCTGTTAAAAGTTATTTTGTTCAAAAAGCAGATTAAAACTATATCAGCAAGTGTTCTTTGCCAGCATACACTGCCTGTTCCACTAAGCAGATTTGTTGTTATTTATTTACTAATATACACATACTTTTTTTTTTTTTTTTTTTAAAGGGGAAGCAAGCCCTAAAAGGCAGCAGAAAGTCACTGTCTTCCCTAATTTCATGCTTGCTTCTAAAAGCCATCCTTTTCTTTTCACCTTCTAATGCTTACCTTCTGAAACTCCTCCATACAGGCAAGCCTCTCCTTCCAGTTGCCACTATCCAGCTGCTGTATGCAAGAGGCTGGAAGGACAGCTGCAGCTTTCTCTTCGCACACTTCTATCTACATACAAAATAGAACAGGGTTAAACACCTCTCAACAGGCCCTCTCAAATGAGATACAGAAGCCTTAAGTGCATGTCAGAGACAGAAATACCACCTCTCAAAGTGCCTGCAATTCAGGAGTCAGACTGGTACAGCCATGTAATTAACAGTTTTACCTTAATGGAGAGGAGTAATGCAAGTAAAACTTTTTGGGCCCTGTGAGTTTCAGGATACAGTTAGGCTGTTAGAGGACATAGAAAAGATTAGTTTTTGTGCATAACTGCCAGATGAAGTTAAGCAGGAACAGGGAAAAGAAGAAAATCCTGTGCTACCTGCATTTAGTTTTAGGGTTATGCAAATTTTAGCCCAGATTTGCTAGACTGCCATGAATATTTACCTGGCTTCAAAATCCAATCCATTTACCCACAACACTTGGTAATGGGAAAAATTAATATTTTCACAGGCACCCTAGGCAAGGGGCAAGTATATGATTGCAAAGTTGTTTTGGTGTATGGGAAGGAGCTACCATTATCAAATTGGTTTCCACCAATATCTGTACCTCCTACTAAGACTGCATATGTAAATGACACAGTAACATACGTACAACATTTAAAACTTGGAGAAATGTCTTCATTTCAGAGCCTGACAATCATAGAAAATTAGGGTTGGAAGGGACCTCAGATCATCTAATCCAATCCCATACTCAAAGCAGAACCATCCCCAACTAGATCATTCCAGCCAAAGCTTTGTCTAGCCGGGTCTTGAAAGCCTTCTAGGATGGAGATTCCACCACCGCTCTGAGTAACCTGTTCCAGTGTTTTATTATTCTCCCAGTGAGAAAATTCTTCCTAAAATCCAACTTAAAATTTCCCTTGCCACAACTTGAGACCATTGCTCCTTGTTCTATCATCTGCCACCACTGAGAAGAGTTCAACTCCATCCTCTTTTGAACCCCCCTTCACATAGCTGAAGACTGTTATTAAATCCCCTCTGTCTCCTCTTCTCCAGACTAAATAAGCCCAGGTCCCTCAGGCTCCGCTCACAAGTCAAATGACCCAGCCCCCTCACTTTTTTTGATGCCCTCCACTGAACTCTCTCCAATTTGTCCACATCCTTTCTGTAGTGGGGGGCCCAAAACTAAACACAGTACCCCAGATGTGGCCTGACCAGTACTGACTAGAAGGGAATAATCACTTCCCTTGACCTACTGGCAACACACCTACCAATGCAGCCCAGTATGCCATTAGCCTTCTTAGAAACAAGGGCACACTGCTGGCTCATATTCATCTTACTGTCCACTGTAACCCCCAGGTTCTTTTCTGCAGAGCTGCTGCCCAGCCAGTCAGCCTCTAGCCTGCACTGGTCCATGGGATTGTTCGGTCTTAAGTGCAGGACTTTGCACTTGTCCTTGTTGAACCTCATGAGATTTCTTTTGGCCCAATCCTCCAATTTGTCTAGGTCACTGAATCCTAGCCCCTACCCTCCAGTGTATTTACCACTCCCCCAGCCTGAATATCATAATTGAAAACACACATAAGAATTGTTTCAATGACTTTTATCATTGCTCAGCATGTATACAGCTTACTTGTGGGTTCTAACTTTAGCCCACCTACCATCAGCATACTACTGCATTAAGCAAACTAAAAGGATGACTTAGAATTGGAAATGCACTCTGGAAAGCATGAGGTTTGCAATTTAGTCTGAACAATATATATTTTACTGATTTGCTCATCTGGACTGTGGGAGTCAAGCTCCAGAACACTCCATTTCCCAGACTTAACTCCAGATATGCAACTGAATATAATTTGCAACTTCGAAAGTACTGTTGTGGACATTTCAGCCTCCTCCACCCTTCTGGCAACTCAGTTTCCCTGAGAGGCAAAAGACCTCAAATGTTACCCAAATAGGGATTTGATAATGGCTTGTTTACCAGAACCTGCCCCATCTTAAAACTTCAGGATCAAGTGAAACAGTTCCTCTGCCCCACCAATTTGAATGCACTGCTTTACTCTGGTATAGTGTATTGCAACTTGAGGGCCATAAATCCTACAAGATATAAGTGATGCAAATTATTTTTCTCTGCAAGACGTAGCATTCCCTTTTGTATTTCAGAGTGAAGAAAAGTACCTACCGAGAGCTCAGATTCAAATATCTCTTTAGTCTCAGGTCCTTTCTTGCCTTTAGTTCCAGCGCCTCCCATACCAGCAGTTGCTGCTGGTTTGCCTTTTTTGGGTGGGCCACCAGGCTGAAAAGGAAACAAGCCAACCAAGATAAAGCTCTCAGTTAAAGAAACAATATTTATAAGTCAGAAGAAGGGAGTCTTGCTTTTCAATCTTTGGCTCCAATTCCAAAAGATACATTTAAGCAATTGAAGTCTTTCTTCACAGAAAGAAACTTTGATATATACCAATTGTAACTGGATTAACAAGCAAAGTGGTCAAGTCATTTGTGTGTAATTTCAAGAGCAGCAAGTCTTAGCAGATGGGGAGAATTCTGCAGAGAAGTTAAAGACAGTGTAAAAAGGGTTTACATTTGCTTGAGAAGGGTCATGGAACAAGAGACAAGTGATTCCATTTCCTTTGGAGATTATAGATGACAGGTTCCAAGTTTGTCAGGCCTAGAAGAAAGCATTTTTCATTACAATGTTAAACAAAACATTTGAATGCCATCTTTCTATTTGTTCCTAGAATCCCCAACTCTCTGCTTGGCCAGAAAAAGATGCCTGAAGGACACTGTGAAGATGGTGTACTATTGGAAACCTTTTTAACATCTGAAAGTCATCTTGATTCCCTTAACCAGATTAGCAGTTTTAAACAGCACTTGGTAGTCAAGACATTAAAGCAACATTGCAGATTATGCTTTACTGCAAAAGCGATACCGGTATTGAATGTGCTGTGAATTCATATATGTGCTGGTCCTACACCAACATGCCAGGATGTTTTCTTGCTTATACAGTTCAAAAACCTCTGAGGAAGGTATTGGGTGGGTTGCCTGCAGGGTTTCAAAATTATAGAATCATAGAAAATTAAGGTTGGAAGGGACCCCTGAAGGTCATTTAGTCCAACCCCCTGCTCGAAGCAGGACCACCCCCAATTATATCATCTCAAACAATGCTTTGTCTAGCTGGGTCCTAATCAGTACCTGGCATTACAAAAAATATTGGGATTTAGAAGACTTAAGAATAGAATCCTCATTCCACACCAGTTTGCTTTCTGAAAGAGTCCAGACTCCATCCTTTTTAAACCTTTTGCTGCATAAGCAGCGTGAAGAAGTCTCCCTCTATCTGTCCTTGGATTGGGACATTTTGGGCTGGAGGGAGAATGTAACACCCACACACACCTGGAGTTGTGTGTGGTCAAGTGTTTCTGGATTTATTTTGCTGTGTATCTTGTGTGTGCTGTATGGGACATTCTCTCATCCCCCCTTATTGTCTCCAGAACCTCCGTCTTAAGTTTCCCTCCAATGAACCTGTGGAACCAGTTGAGTGACTCCAGTCACTCCACCAGAGGTTACTGACCACTTTTGAAATGACTGGTCTGCGACAGCAGGGTTCAAATAATGCCTGTTTCTGGCTGGCACCAGGTGATGAGTTTAGAAAGGTTATTTAAGGATCAGGCCACCTGGTCTGGGGGGAGCTCTTCCTCTGGCAGGCATCTTGGAACAGCTTCAAGCAGGGACCTTAGGCTGCCATCTGCATGAATCAGTGAGTATGCCTGAAGACTAGCTAGAAAGTTAGATCTATGTAACTTTAGCCACGTATTAAAAAGGGCCAACAAGACCATTCTGTTTTGCTTAAGGCATTTTCTTTGAAGATTTGTCTTGTACCCCTTCCCTGTTCTCCCCCTCTGATTAATAAAAAGTTATCTGTTGCAGCGTGCCTGGCTCTGCATCTGAGGGGAGAAGGGCGAGACAAGCCTTTATAACTCCCTTTGCTCAGCTAGCTAAAGTAGGCTTGGCTTTTTACTTTCCTCCAGTGCAGTAGGCTACTTTTGAATGCTTCAGGCTAAAAGAAGCACCCCAAAATACCACAGTGGGCCAATCACCCCCAAGGTCTGCACGGTCCATGTACCCCGGGCTGCACAGAGCCCTAACAGAGAACAGAGCCTGGGTGGTGGTAGCGATTACCCCAGGCTTGCGCATGTGCTCCACTAAGGGGTTCAGCCAGACGTAGGTGCCCTGGGGGAGACGCCCAAAACGTAGTTAAGGTCAGGCACAGTGAGGTGGGTGGCTCAGCATAGTAGCACCCCCCACAAGCAGCAAGAACAAGGATACTTGCTGGGATTACCTTGACTCCCAAAAGACTGCAACTAGAAACAATTTAAACAGGTTCCCAGGGAGTAACTCTCTCTTATAACAATTTGCTAAGGTAGGCTGTCTATATCCCTCCTACCTTGACAACAGGTGCTTTTTTTGGTGGTCCTGATTTGGCTGAAGTCTCTTTTGTATCCTTGTCTCCAGCAGCCCCCGAAACAACTGGGGTCTTTCCAGGAAGAGTTTTGCCTTCCTTTTTATCAGCTGCTCCTCCTGCCTTCTTACCACAAGCCAGTTCCACCTTTTCAGCACACTCTTTAATCTGGAGAAAAAGAGTTAAGACCACCACCATTTAAGTATGTCCCCAGCATCTAACCACCTAATGCCCCTTTTAAGAACTAGGTTTTTATCCATTAGCATAATAAGAATACCCCAAAGATCATTCAAATTGTTTTATTATCCAAATAAATCAAAATTAGTTCCATTAGACATTAATAGCACCAGATTTAATTTCTAGCCCAAGCAGCATGTTATCTTAAAGTATACATATAAAAGTTGTAAACACACACGTATGCACAGAAGGTCTTCTAATAAGACCTCTCAAAACATTTTAAAATATATTAAGAGTTTTCTTCACAGAAGATATTATTGAACAATCCTGCCACATGTCAATGCACGGTTGATCTTGTCACCTCAAAAAGGTACACACATGCACACCTCTGGGATGAGTTCAATCACATAAATAATGAGTTGAGCAAAACTTGGCTTTCAAAGGTGAGCACTGCACCTTGAAAACTGACCATTTCCAGCAAGGATTTTAAATAAAATGATTACATAGTTCTGAAGGCTATTCAAGACCCACTACACATGGCATCCTACTAAATACCACAGAGACTTACCCGATCAAGTTTAAGTTTGTCTACATCTGTAAGGAAAGGGTTCACAGCTTTCTCCCCCGCTACCTTCAGGGCGGTCCCTAATGCTTCAAATGCAGCATCTCTTACTTCTGGTGCAGAATCATTAATATGCTGTGGAAAAATGGTATGATTCAGATAATCAGAAGTTTAAAAAGGTGGGTTCAGGATTTCTAATCCAGTTTCTTTACACCAACTTAATAAGACTTTCTCCTGAATATTTTGCCTGCAATTACTATAAGAAAAGCCTAATGTTTCTGTTACAGGAGAAATTAAGTTTCTTACTACCCCATTTACTTATATATTTGAGTGCAAGTTTCCACAATTTCCCACATACAGTGAGCTTTCACTCTTTGGGTCTTTCACAAAAGGGAGAAAAAGCTATATACCTTTTAAAATGTATTTTAAATACCTGAAGAAATGACATGGAGACTTCTTTCCAGTTAACGGTGCCCTTTCAAAAGTATTGGGAAGTGTGGAATTAGGTTTAAGACCAGGGGTCAAGAGGATTTATTTGAAAGAACAAGGCAAGAATTAAGCACCACTAATTTCAAAATAATGCTGTAAGGTATGTTTTAAGTTTGGGCAAATTTTCTTCTGGTGAAGATTTACCAGAAGAGAAATCAAAAGGGAAGAAATATTAGTTTACTCCACTGAATATCAGTTATCTTAAAGCTGCTGTCCACTCTAGTTTCATGTAATAAGATAGCTGGAGAAGTTTAGTTTAGGGAGAAAAAGTTTACCTGTCATAGTTGGATCTAGGCAATGAAAGCCTTTAAAAAACCAACACACGTAACAGACTGAAACTTATTACGAAAGAATATTTGTTCAAATAATGTAAGGGGGGGAGGTGGAAATCAATCTATTGCTGCAAGCCAATCTCGACACAACATTCCCAGTTACTCTGTACTTATTGCACCAGAAAAAGTGCAGCTTCAATACCCTCCCTACCAGAAATATTATGCCATTCCAACCCATTGTTTCCATCGCATCACTGGCAGTGATAATACTAGAGAAGTATCAACCCATCCCTTTCTTACCTTGAGAAGAGCAGCACAGAAGGGTTTTAGCAGGTTCTTTGGCAGGGTAGAAGGTGTGCAATGACGAAAGCTTCTCGCAATGAAAAGAGATGTCTGTTGTTTGATGGTTGGGTTTTTGTTGTCCATTACAGCCAACACATCCTCACTTATGTTCTGTAATGTGGTCTAAAATGTTAGACAAATAGCCTGGTTAGTTTCAGAGGGACAAGGGAAAAGAATACTGAAGAAGACAGTGACCAGCTCTCAGCAGGACAAGGCCTTTATTACTTACAGTAAGGAAGATTGCATCAATGGCCTCCTGTAGTGCCTGCACCACTTGAGGCTTCTTCTCTTTAAATTTCTCTAGGATGGTTGGAACAACCTGTTTAAAAACAAAGTACACATTTCAGTTACCAAGTGTAATGTGACAAGATGATGTTGGTTCCATCACTTCGACAGCATGTCAGTGGCTTTAAGTAGCATGCATCTCTTATTTCCCCAAGCGGGAAACTGCAGCAGCAGAAACAGCTCTTGCAGTCCTACACATCACTGAACAGCACCAGAGCAGTGACCCCTGTGTACTTTTAAAAGTGAAAATGAATTAAAAAAGGAGCTGGGCTCTTCTCTCAACCCCTTACTTAAGCACAAGGGCTACAATGGGACTCTGCTCCTCTCATACAAAAGAAACCTTTAGCTCTGACCCTGTTCCTGACGTCTTCACAACAGGGGTGCACCGATAAAGATTTTTTGGGCCAATATAGAAAGCCGATTATTGACCAGCCATATCAGCCAATAACAATTCGACTGCTGATATGTAGCCCAGAAGCACGGAGAGCAGTGTACAGCTGGCAAGTCTCTTGGTGGGGAAGGGATGGAGAGGGGCAGATTAAGGCCCCCACGGTGAGGGAGGGAATGGGGCTGGGGCAGGAGATGGCTCATCTGGGGGCAAGGGAGGGGGTGGCTGCACACACCCCTGGGGAAGACATGGGAGGCACGTGCCCCCTCAGATCTGTGCATGGGACAAGGGCAGACTGCCCACTTGGGGTCAGGGCTGCTCCAGCCTCTTCCCAGCAGCTGCACTCCAGCTTTTCCCTGCCCCAGCCCCACTGCCTCCTTCACCATGGGGGCCTCAATCTGCCCCCCCACCACAGTCCTTCCCTCCACACCCACCCCTTTCCCCCCAACAGGACTTACCAGCCAGATGCTGTTCTCCAAGCTGCCGGGCTGCACTCCTGGTCACACGCATACTGCAGTTGCGCACATGCACATGGCATTTATTGGCAACATTATCAGCCACATCAGCCCAAAAAGCCGACTGACAATAAATGTCAACTTTCCTTTTAAATCAGTGCTGATACAATATGGACTGATGCATCAGTGCACCTCTACTTCATAACCAACAGGCCACTTTCAATCTGTAATAGACTATAATGCAGTAAATATTTGCCTCTCTCCTGAATCAGACAAGAGCACTAGAGCTATCATAAGTTTGTTTTCAAGAAATAAAGGTCCAATACTGCTGAAACCCGCCTTTGTTGGTTAGGCCAGCCATCACCACCACAGTTCTCACTTACACCCACATGCCCCCAGCATACTCATAACTACTTCAAAAAGCACTGCTCCAGCTCTGCTCAGATCTCACGATTCAACCAGCCATGATTCTAAAAAAAGATATTCAACAAATCCATCTTTCCCTCAGCATCTGGCTCAGACAATAAATTACTCTGTTCAGGTCATCCCATACATAATATAAAGTGAACTGTCTTCTCAGTCAAATCTGGATAAACTGTCCAATCTGAAGTCAAGCCAATGTAGGAAACCAGATTCCAGATAGTGCATGGGAATTGGAATCACAGCACAAAGCAACACTAATTAAACTAATGCAAACCAAAACATTCTGGTGCCGAACAAGAAACATGCAGTCTCATTTACAATATCGAGCCCATTGCAGCCTGCATCATCAAGACCTACTCGATGACATCATAAGGCCTATGTTGGCCAATGTCATCCCTCCCAATTAGCATTGGCCAGAACAATAGGCCAGGCAGGACAGCATTGGCCACAATGACTAAGGGACTCCAAATTCCAAATCTGCTAAAGAACATCAGTAAGGGGTCAAGGATTTTATGAAGCACTAGCAAATTGCCTGTCACGAATGACGGATGACTCAATGTCACTACTGGGCTTGGTTACCGCCATCTTCCTTTGGGTTGCTCACAGGTTGCTTGGCCATCCAGGAGGTTGGATTAGATCAGGGGTTGTGTACTTGGGATATAGACACACTTCCGGGTCTACTGCCAAGCATGCTGGGGAGGCCCCTGCACTCCTGTGGGACACTCCATGCGCCCTAGCATCACAGCATTCACAAGCTACCTGCTACCTAGAGGTATGTAGAAAAAACATTTAAAGCTATGTCTATATCCAACTCTCCAAATCAATTTGGAGGGTTCCAATTCGATTTGGAGAGATTAAAGGGTTCTTTGATTCAATTCGGAGATGCGGCTACTGAATTGGGTCAAATCTCTGCCAAATCGAATTGGAGACTGAAGCTTTGCACAGCCCTAAAGCTTGCGAACAGCAGCTGCCGCCACCACCAACTGCCCTGCACTGCTGCCGCTCAGGTCCAACCGCATGCCCCGCTTGAATCCCTGGTGGGAGCCATGCCCCCCCCGCCTTAAAAGAGCGTTACAGACGCACACACAGACTAAGCCCTTTATATAGCTATCTATATTTATAACTATATCTCTATCTATAATGATCTCTTTATCCATCTATATATAATGATATATCTATATATGATCAACACTATCATTTTCTTCATGATAAACCCACATGTGGCAGACAAAAAAAAAAAAAGAGAGAGAGAGCGAGCGCGCGCGAGCGAGCGAGCGCGCACGCGGCTTTACTTTAAATTCAGCATTCCCAAACTGAGCTCAGCACATGCTCAGAAGAGTGCATTAGTTAGGCCCGGCTCACCCAATATCTGTATAGATCAGGTGTTTTAATAGGCCTTTTTGGGAACTTATCTAATAGCTGATTCAATCAGCTATTAGATAAAAGCACCAAAAAGCCGGGCTGAAGTGCCCAATCTATATAGACACTGCAGACCAAGGTCAAAGCAGTGTGCTGCTTCTTCTGTTAAGGCACAGTTGCTTGTTTTTAACATCTGCAAGCAGCCAATATTTACAGAAGCTACCAAAATTGCCTGCTGTATACCTGTTGTAAGCAAAACTACCACACATAACCAAACAGTCCATTCTAAGGAGGGCTCTCCATCTCAAAGACAGATTATACAGTTTACAGATGTAATGCTCCCAGGTCATCCTCACTGGCTGAGCTCATTTCTCATGATCCTACGCACCATGAAGATGTACCACGAGAGTCAAATTCAGTTCCCAAGACCTCCACGACTGTTGTGATAAAATCCTAACCTTTATTATGCTCACTGTACAACAGTTTCTGTTAACTAACATCCTCTTTACCACAATAGGTACTAGTTATTGATACAATGTACTATATAGAGAGAAGTGGAATTTTGAACACTGACAGTTCAAGAGGCTGAAATGGACAGAACTACATAATGCAATCCTACAAACCTGTGCTGAGGTTTAGTAAAAACTATGATAGTAAAAAATGTTGCAACAAATCACCCTACTTTGCTGGGCTGGGGAGGATAATACATTTGAGAAGGATTTCCAGACAATTTGCATCTGTCCCATCTCTCAGCAGCACCATTCCCTCTAAGCTGTGCGGCATGGAGTCCGCATGGCCACGCAGGCATGCTTGGCAGTGCAGCATGAGCGCGCATGCGCAGCCATGCATGCCACAGCTTAGTGGGAACACTACTCAGCAGCCTACCTGCATTTCTGGAGTTCAAGATACTTGAGTTCTGGATAGCTTTTAAAGTTAGTCTCAACTCAAGATCTGAAAATCCAACCCATTCCTTTCTTGGTCCATGACACTGCCATAGGGAATGTGGTACCACTCAATTAAATGACCAATGCTTTATTTAGGGCAGGGATTTTCCTTTTCTCTTTCAACAAGGCAATAGTCTCACTAACTCAGAAAGAAGATCTAACCAGATATACACATCACTTCTAGCCAACTACCAATTTGTAACAAACCTCCATTCACAAGCAAGCTCACAAGTCAATCATGCAACTGCAGCTATGATTTTACACAAGTAATTTCCAAACCATGGGACAAAAATTCCCAAGTTGGTGACAAGCCAGAAATTAAATAACATTATAGCAGCTGTGCTCAGACTTCATATGGAGTCATAAGCCAAAGGATGTTAGACATTGCTTAATGCACTACTGGAAAGGACACAGATACCAATGATGAGCAGCATACAAAAATCTATGTAGGAAAGAAATGAAGGAAGAAGGAATTCTATAATTCTACTGAACTGTTAAGGGTTAAAGGAAGCACAAAAAAAAGCTTTAAAATCAAAGCAGCAGTGAGTTGTTCCTATGTGCAGTGCTGAAATGGAGTGGTATGTACTGTGCCAAGAAGGGCTCAGAGAACAGAAGCAAGCTCAAGGACTGTAGAGAAATTCCCCAAATTTAGAGGTGAATTACACAAAAAAGTTGTGCAGAAATAAATCCATGTGTTAACTCCTTTCCATCTACCTTCCCAAAGCTTGTTGAATTCCATCTCTAAGTAAGCATGAAGCCCGACTTCAATGAAACAGTTTTTAACAATACTATTGATACCAGGATGCAAGCTTAAGATAAGATTTCTCATACTGCTGAAGACTAGGTTTAAATGCAGTAAACCAAGATTAAAAAAAAAAAAAAAAAAAAAAAAAAGAGACTGGGGCAGAACTTCATTGCCATAAGACAATTGGATCAAACTTCAAGAAAATGTTTTAATCACACATTCACCTCTGAAAGAGTTTGTACTGCATGTACAGTCATAGAATTAACATATATTCTGCTAAACATTAGCTAATAACTCAGAGTTTTCATTGAATATTAAGAAATCAGATGCAGTGATCTGGCTGAAGCAAATTCACTGGCAAAAAAAAGCCTATTTGCCAAGTTTGTCCAACTCAAAGTTATTACAGTACTGAATAAATCACACCTCCACAGCCAAACTCATTTACAGGCCAATTCACTGTTTCAAAAGCTCAGCTTTTTCTCAGTTAGCTGATTCTGCGGCCATAAGGGTTAACTTTTAAAACATGAATCAAAGTAAAGGTGCTTGCCTGCATCTAAATACAGCTCTAAACAGTAGCCTGGACAATGCCTGATTTGTCTCAATCAGGGCTCTGAAGACAAGCGATTCCACAGCAGCAAAAGCTGGTATTTTTCCAATCTGTCACAGAATTAATCACTTTTAAGGAAGGCAGAAATATCACTTCACTCCCTCTTGTCAGAGTTACCTAGAGCTCTCTCTTGGTCTTTAGAAAGAGAATCAGGTTGGAAATCCATTGTACCCAAAGAGCATGGCTATGGAGACCAGCCACTGACATCTACTACAGGTTCTTTTCCTTCCTTAAGAATGATAAATCCCCCACAGACTCTGCCATTTTACAGGAAAGGAAAAAGGGTAAGAGATTAAACCAAAATTTCTGAAAAGCACTTTGGCAGGCAAGGCCTGGGTAACAGAGGGGAGGAAAGAAAAAAAAACAAAAAAACAAAAAACCAAAAAAACAAAAAAACAAAAATCAATCCTCAAAAGTGGCATTTTATGTCAGCAAGTATTTTCAACATAAGCTTGAGGTATGAGCATGTGAGACTCTCTCTCGGGAGAGGGAAGAATAAAGGCTTTCACGGCAGTAGAGTAAGTTAACACAATTATGAAATTCAAGAGTTGTTCCTATAAACACACACACGAAACCACCTACCTCAACAACAAAGTATGGTACTTTTAACTTAATACCATAATCAAAAGTCTTTGCATGTAACTTCCTAGTTATTAGATTAAAGAGTAAAAATTTCTGAAACAACATGCATACATACAGGTCAAATGTACTTTATTACAGAAATGCTGGCCTCAAGCTGTTATACAAACTCAGTACTAATTTTTAAAGCAACTTTACTACTCGTGTACCAAGAAGGTAACAGAGTAAAATACATACTCTTACTTACATGTCCTGCATATTGTCCAAATTTCTTCCTGAGGCCAGTAGCCAGACCAGCAAGGCATTTGGCAGCCAAAGCAACCAACATAACATTTGTGTCCTTCCCAACAACCTGAAAAAGAACAGCATTAAAGATCAAACCAGCAAAAGATTCTTAGCATTGAAATGGACAGCCAAAGCCAGTGACATCCAAAGCGAAGAGAGAAACAGGTACTTGGTGGGCTCACACTATTTGAGCTGGCTAATAAAACAAAAACTTTATTCATCACTGTTCTGACATTCTGAACCAAAAATTTACTGTCTAAAATCAGTAACCGTGTGTAATGCTGGCTAGACTTAAGTTTCTACTGTGGTCCATATTAAAATGTTATGGCACCATGATTAACGTTTGCCCCCTTCTCAGAGAAGCTTAGAAAAGTTTGTGCAATTATACCTTGTTATCAGATTTGAAAAGGTCATTTGGCTTGACTGCGCCTACTACAAGCCCCAGAATTGAAGGAGTGCATACATTTTTACAGATGTCACACTCGACTCCAGCTGGACTGCCTTCAATGTCAAAGGTAAGTAGTAGGCCTTAAATTCCAGGTTTTTTCCCCCCCAAAGGGATTCTATATTTTTTTCTTTTCATATTAATCTGCCTCAATTTAGAGAGCACATGTCCTGGAACAATAATATTTCTCATGGTCCATTTTAGGAGGACACTTTAGAGGTACTTAGGCAAGACAAGCTTAACTGACATTTGAAAGTCAGGAGAAAGCAGTGTGGGTTTCCAATGGAATAAAAAAGTAAAAGGGGCTAGATGAAATTTTACCCACTTCAAAGAACAAAAGTGCTTGTATGAAGTGATATAGATTGGTATCAATCAAACCTAAAGCTTAGGAAAGGCATTTATATATTGTTCTCTCACTGGGGGATGTTTCACTACATTTATGTCTAAAAGGCAAGTTTTATGAACAGCTGCATGGACTGCAGATGCACTATTCCAGAGGCACACAGTTATTTCAGGAGGAAGGCCGCTTAACAAGGTTTGGCGAGCTGTCGAGGGCCACATGGGTAGCCCCATCCCTTGACAGTTGCGGCTCCCCCCAGTCGCCATCTTGGGACCAGAAGTCCTGTAGTCAACACAGGTGGGGTGTGGATGTGTGGCCACCTCCATACTCCCCACATGGTGCAGCAGCAGACGGTGGTGCTGGTGCCTGACTCTGCCCAGCGCTGAGGAGCTCTCCACAGTGAGGAGCACAGCTGCCACCGGGCGTTCTGTATTCCCGGCACTCTCCAGCACTCGTGTGGCAGGGGAGAGAAGCCCCAGGCACTGGACCTCACTGCCTTCCCTGCCCCAGCTGGCTTCTGTGCCTGGGGCGGCACTGGACCTCACTGCCTTCCCTGCCCCAGCTGGCTTCTGTGCCTGGGGCTTCCCAACCATGCAGTGAGTGTGGGAAATGCTGGCAATACAGAGGCCCGAAGGGGTCTATACCCCTTGCAGCAATGTGCAGGGCTGACCAGAACCAGACATGAGTACCCTCCCTGCTGCTGTTGCTGCCCCCACTCCCTGCTGGGGCTGTGTACCATGTGGGGGGAGGGGAGGGAGGAGTATGGGAGGGGTCCCCACACCGCCCTCACGCCCACACACTGTCCAGCTGAGCTCTGCACTGAGCCTGCCCCCTGGGTGCAGGCTCCGCACTGCTGCCAGCCCTAGCCCAAGTTCCATACCCAGCTACAGGCCCCGCCCCCACCCCACTTCCCTTCTTGCTGCTCAGAGGGAGCAGGACACTGGGTTTGGCTGCAGCAGCTGCCCTGCCCCAGTGCTGGTGGGGCCAGGCCCTTCTGCCCATGAGGGTGGGAGGGAGGCACAATAGGGTACGTTGGGGCAGGTGTAGGTACCTGGCTCCCACCTTGGCACGCAGAGGGGCTGGGTGGTCACAATTTGTAGATGGGCACCACAGGCCAGAAAGTGCCTGGTGGTCCAGATCCAGCCTGCAGGCCATATTTTGCCAGCCCCGCACTATTCTCAACCAGATGCATAAATCACAGCAGACGCTCTGTAAGCTGGATGTATACTTCTGAACAGCCAAGAAGCTGCAGAGTTGGGCGGGGGGGAGGGAAGAGAGGGCACGACAGACGGATGACAGATGGACATTTTACTTGCTGCTGACCCCAAATAATTATCTTGGAATATTAGGATTGTAATAAATGTCAGAAGCATCTGGTTCCATTATCTTAGGTAGTTTGGCATGAATGGGGAAGACATGACCACTCCCTAGAGCAGGGGCAGGCAAAGTCTGGCCCATGGGTGGGATCCGGCCCACAGTGGGCTCCACTTCTCAGCAGTCGCTGATTGCATAGCCAGTTCCCATGGAGACCCCAGTAGCTGTGACAGTGTGGGGCCAGGGTTTCCACAGAGACTGGCCCCAGCAACGCTGGCAGGGGAACTGCACAGGGCCAGGACTGGCATCCTAAAGTGGTAACAATGTGGTCTGGAGCTGGGGATCCACTGCTCACATACCTGAAGACCTGGGTGAGGGAAAGGGGGTGCCTGGGGCACACGGGCAGCGGATAGCAGCTCTGCCCCAGCTCTGGATCATGGCGTCACCATTACAAGATCCCAGGCCTGGCCCCGGAGCAGTTCCCTGCTAGCATTGCTGGGGCCAGTCTCCATGGAAACCCTGGCCCTGCACTGTCACATCAATACGAGCAGGGGCTGCTTGGAAATGGAGTCCAGCCACTAGCCAAATCCACCGTTTTGCCCACCCCTGCCCTACAGTCTCTTAGATAAGATTAAGGTACAACAGCTACCTTCTGGGAAGAGACAACAGGTCTATCTAGTTGAGTATCCCCCTACAGTAGACAGCACCAGTTTCAAAAGGAACATTCAAGACTGCCTGTTGCAGAAATCTGAGAGATATCTGTCCTAGTATTTTTGACCAAAACCAAATCAAAAGTTGCCTTTTTCTCTGAAACATGTTTTTTTTTTTCTCTTTTCCATTTCTATTTTAAAATCTTTACCATAACAACTGAAGAGTTATGAATACAAATATCCAATCCATTTTAAATCTGGACAGCTACTTTGCCTCCAAAGTTATATGACAACCAATTCTGCTAGAACTATATATTATCCTATGTTTGCTAAAGTATTTAGCATTTAGAAGCAGTGCACTTAATTTCACCAAATGTCTTTGTTTTTGCATAATAAAAAGATCTGTGTATTATTTTCTCTAGGCAGTGGGCATCCGTTTCTCAGAGGACCATTGATTTGTGCTGAGTAAAGAATTATCAGCTCAATGAACATCTGCAAGTGTGGCTGTAGAGCCCAATACTCACTCGCTATCCATTGTCTCTATACTTTTTTTATTTCCATCAAAAGTAAGCACTCGCTCAGGGTTTTTTCCACTCTTCACAAACAGGTTTTTCCATGAGTAGGACACTGTACCTCTCTGAATTCCCTGCAATTCTGCCATATCCTTAACAGTGGGCACATCTACACAAGACTCTTAATGTGCAAAACATAAAAGTTCTACTGCACATTGATGTGGCAGTCAAAACCCATGCTAATGCATAGGATTTAGTTTAATGCGCATTAAACTCACAAAAAAAAACAAACCAACATTCATCTGTGCTAATGCACAGTAGCGCCGATTATGGTGCAGTTAGTAGCTAATTATAGTGCATTAAATGAATGTGTAGATGTGCCCAGTGTCAGATACAGTAATCAAAATGAGGGATGAGCTGGTGCTCTGTAGTACTGTTCACCAACCTGCTTTATTCTAAGATGCCCTTCAACTATTTTTACAAGTAGCTGTACACAGGCCAATTATCTTTGGTTGAGGAGAGGTCTGCTACAAAAACGGATTCTAACAAACCTGCAGGTTTCACCAACTTTCAAAAAAGCCAAAATAACTTAAATACCCAAAGGGTCTCATCAGTCCAAGATGTAATGCTGAAAGTAACTTGCATATACATAGTATTAGGAATGGGACTTCTGTTCAAGGAAACAGTGCTCAACAGTGCCTTTTCAGATGTGAGGTATAGTCTTCTGGAATTAAGGAGTTCACTGACAGAACAAAGGCCTGCTATATGCAGTGCAGAGATATTTACCTTTTTAAGAACTCTAACCAAGTCTGCATAGTCTCCTGCTTCCAGTTTGGGATTCTTCACCAGAATTTCAACAGCTTCTAGGGCTTCTTTCCTCTCTTGCCACTTTTTGGCTTCCTGCAAGACAATGCTTCCACATTTGCATACAGCACAGACATTTAGCAGCTCCAGGAAAATTTTTTCAAGACAGTTCAACTTTGACCCAAGAAATTCAACCATTTTTAATGTCTTCATCTATTCTAAGCTTAGAGGTTGCAACAAAATGTTGGAGTGTACATTTCAACTTTCATCTTGCTTTCTTGAACTTATATCCATTTTGCTGACAGATTAAAGGGCTGATATTTTGCAAACCATCTCCCTATTACTGTTTCTGTAGCATTACTCCATTCTGCAGGAGATAAGTTAGTCTTAAACACCATCAGCCCACATCTCTTGGTATGGGATCTCAATACGACTTACAAGGAGCAGTTAAAGCTGTACTCACTATTTTGTCATAAAAGTCTTTGGGAAGTTTGGAAAGAATTTCCACGGCTTCCAGAAGCTCATATGCATCCACCTGTGGGACCACCTCGTCCCCATCATCTCCTCCTGCAGATGGAGGACAGGTTAACAGACAGGCATGAGAAGAGAGACTTGGGTAATTCTTAAATATCCCCATATTCTACTTATTCAAGGACAGCAACAAAAGTGGAATATGGATGGTAGCAAAATCTGCTACTCCAGAAGTAGGAAGCTTTTTCAGTTACTATCTTCTCCACCAGCTGTCATTTCAGAAGGCCTGGTGTGCTCTACACATCTTCATATCAGTTTAAATTAAAAGCACCTTTTTCACCTGTTCTATTTCATCATCAGTTGGGAATACATTATTATTACAAGACTAAAGATTGAGATCAAATACATTACCTCCATCTGCATCACCTCCAGCTGCCTGCTGCTGCTCAAACTTTGCTTTCAGATCTTGCTGAGAACGTAAAAATCGAGTCTGTTTGGGAGCTGCTGGTTGTACTTTGACCCATTCTTCCTCTAGCTCTTTTAGCTGTAGAAAGTCACAAGGCATCACTAATATAATATGTATTTCAGCCAAGCAAAACATTACTAAAAGCAGTATGGTTCCTCCTTAGTTGATAGGAGTGCTTTTAAACTTGTCTGGATGGGGTATCCTTGCAATAGTTCACGTACAATGGTATTACATTAAACTACAATATTTGTTCTGCTATTGTGGTATTGGCTAGAGGTAGTCTTCCACCAGCAGCACAATATGTTTACTATTTAATCAAGTGTGCGTGTTACATAGAATAATACCAGATGGCAGTGAATTTTTACACTATCTGGCTAGAATGATTGGAACTGGTCATTTCTGGCATATGTGAAAGGGTTACAGTCTAGTGTGTGTTTTTTTTGTGTGTTTTTTTTTGTTTTTTTTTGTTTTTTAAGAGAAATGATTGAGAGTATAGGACAGTTTCACATTTCTACTATACCATATAATGAGGGCAACAAGTTTACAGGATAAGGAGGGTTGGGCTAGGCCAGCGGTTCCCAATCTGTGGTGCACTTACCACCAGTGGTATGTGTTAAACAGATTTATTATAAATTACTGGATGTGACAAAAAGTTGCTGGTGGTACTTAAGGTTGAACTGAAAAAATTGCTGGTGGTATTTAAGGTTGTATCGTTTTAAACTGGTGGTACACAATCTGTCAGAATTTGGGAACTGCTAGACTAGGCCAATTCTGATGCAAGACATTTACCAACTACCTAGTTCAGACTTGTCCAACATACAGCCCACAGGCGCCATGAGACCCTCCCAAGCTGTTTTCCGAGGCCCAAGGTACTGCGACAGAAAACTAAAGTAAACACTGTACTTTCATTTCGGGGGATGGGGGTGATGTGATACCGCTTCCTGCGAGGTCTTTGAATATGGCTCGCCAGCCCACTGGGTAATAAAAAGTTCATGATCCAGCCCCACATTCAAAAAGGTTGGACATCCCTGACCTAGTTGCACAAAGGATGACAAATACTTTCACAAAGAAGGAATCGCCATCCTTTTTATTTTGACTCATAGAAAGTCTTTCCTGAGTCCAACTAGAATGCTGAACCTCAGTTTCCATTTGTAAAGCTACAGAAGCTTAAGAAACTATTTTATAGAAGACAATGCTTGGAAGTTTTTGGCCAATAGTAAAAGTTTCTGTCATATTGAATGTAATAGCTTGTATGTTTGTAATAGTTGCCCATTAGCCAGTTTAGGAAGAAGACAAGATTCATCTTCTTATCTAGGCCATTGTTTTGGTCTATGTGCAGAAGGTCCTGACTTTGCTCAAAATCTTAACTCTTTAATTTTATCTTTAGAGGCCTTTAACAAAGTTAACCTAAAAATGACCCTTAAGCAAACATCCCACATTCCGAGAAATCAAAACCTAGGAGCCTTTTAAAAGATTGGAAAGAAAGGAAAATTCCTCAAAGTAATTAAATGATCAACAAAAGAAACTGAACCCAGCAGAAATTTGTTGAGTAAGATCTGAGCCCAAATTTGGGAGTAGTGACAGGTTTGGGTAGGAGGGGCCCAAGACGGCAACTCACTCAATAAAAACTGTAACCTACTGTTCCATTTTGGAGGTAACCTCACTTGCAGAACAACGAAGGAAGAATCGCAAGTGTAGGCCGGATCAGACTGATCACCTGAACCACCCTCTCCGTGAACACGAATCTCTTAGTTCACGCTGAAGCTGCGGAGCGCCCGAAAGGGACTGAAGGAAGGGGACTTAGTCCTATCAGTATTGAGGCCAGCCCACTGAACTGTACTACTGAGGCCAACCCATTAAATTGTACTACTGAGGAATGAAACCATATCTAGGTGTTTGGCTTCTCAGAATTCTAGGATTGTAAGTATATTATGAAAATAATAGTATTGATTCAAATTTAACTTTGAGTTGTAATTGTTTGGGAAGGAAGTACATTTGGAGCATTGTTTCTGATATATGTAGTTATTGTGTTCTTAATGTCTGTGGTATTTCTTAAAGCTAAGCAGTGTTATATGTGTAGCAGAGAATTTTAAAATAAAATTGTGTTGTATGAATTAAGTGTGTAATCATTGTGAAATCGTGCAAGTAGATAAAAATTTCCCCAGCCAGTGCATCAAACGAATCAGTAAATTGTGTGGGATTTTCTCTATTCCATAACCCACTAGAGACAGTTTCCTGCAAGCCAAAAAGGCACAAGAGAGATTTAACCGAAAATACCCCATCTGGCATATAATAAGGAGGTTGGTGAAGCATTTTAAAACACAGAAAATGTTTGAACCAATGGTTCATTCATATCTCACTCAGATACTACCAACAGCATACCTGGACAGAGTTTATGTTCTGTAGTGGGGGTCTCAGAGCATCCCTTATCCAACGATAGATCTCCACAGCAAGGAGTTTGGCTTCATCTCGAACAGCCTTCTCTCGAGACTCAAAAAGTTTTGGCAATACTTTTATTATTGGCTTTAGTGAGATTATTTTTGAGCCAAATTCACTGAAAAATAAAAATATGAAGGCGAGTCAATGCTGAAGTGTAAAGTCCAGAAGACTCGCTCACAAAAAGTGTCATCAACTTAAGATCTTGGCACAGCTGGGGCTCTAGACAGAGCTACCTGTATAGCTGATGCCTTTCATAAACCAAGTCAAGTACTACATTTTGTCACACTGTGCACTATTATGAAGTTGTTCTGTATTTACTGCCATCATTTAGTAGTCTGAAGCTGTAGTTACTTGATGTCTGAGACTTAAAAAACACCCACCCTATCACACTTATTTGCCTCCCAAACCCAGATCTGGATGATAAAACCAGGTCTTTAAACTGCTTCAAAGCCCTTAATCCAAAGACTAAAGCTTGTGACCTCTTTTTTTTTTTTTTTTAAATCATGCTAGAATCTCTTTTGACTATTCTGGGAGGTAAACTGCAGTTAAGGCATGTGTCATTTTCTTACTTGTTGAACCAGATAATTAGCGAGCCAGGGTCATCTCACCGAAACCAGGTGGCTCAGAAACCAGCAGGTGCAATTTTTGTTTAGCTTTCCAAGAGTTATGAGATACTGTTTCTTAAAACCAATTTTATGAGAAGACTTGTAACAGGAGAAAGGCTGCAGTCTTGAATTAAGGCAAGTTAACTTACATTTTTCCGGATACGGTCTCCTGATGAGCCCTGATATAACAACCTTTGGCACCTAGCAAGTTACATCAGGGGCAGTAGGGGAGGCTGGGACCAGCAATGGACTGGCCCCAGCAGCCTTACCTGGGGTTCTGGGGGCCTCCTGGGGCTGGAGCCGCAGTAATCCTGCCAGGCAGAGCCTTGCTAGCAGCCACAGCACAGGTCCGGGCAGCCCGGCTTCACCCCCCCCCCCCCTCCCCAGGTTAAAAACAAAAAACAACAAAACCCCCAAACGAATAAAAAGAACCCAAAAAAAAAACACCACAGGGAAAAAAAAAACCTAGGGCAGCTCACCCTTGCAGCATGGAGAACACCTGACTGTGCAGTACATGGCGCTGCCAACATGTTTGTGGCGCCATATACCTCATGGGCATGCTCATCTGGATGTGCCCCATAATGCCCAGAAATCTTATACTACTCAGTAAAGCATTTTCATTAAAACCAAAACGTGGCAAATCAGTTGCCAAGAGTAAAATTGACCCAGATACATGACCAGCAACTGGATAGACAACACTTACATCTGACTATCCTCCACAGCAGCTCTCAGGGCAATGTATATGAATTCACTAAAGTTACATTAAAAAGATTCAGCAATACAGAATTCCAGGAGCCTCTCTAAAGGCTTACATAATAAACCCTCATGCTTTTACAAAAGAGCAAAACAAAAAGACCTTACCTTAGCGCTTTCCTCAGAGTCTCTATACATGCTACTATGATCTTAGGGTTTTTGTTGTCCAGACCTTTGAGTAATTCTTCTTGGACTGGTTCCCCTTTCTCAATTTCTATATACATTAGACATATGTCTATGCCCAACTCCTTTGCTCTGGCTTTTGGCTGATTGAACACTTTATTTACAACTCCAGAAACCACTTCACCCGTTGTCCTGAAAGGAGATAAATTTTTACTTTCAAATAGTACAAGCACGTAATTAGCTCTATCATCAGGGGAAATTTACACTTAGTAATGCCCAAGATCTGGGCAAGAACTTACTAAACCTCACTTCATAGAAGTTAAATCCTATTTAGGTCAACCACGGTGACATTACTGGACTCTGCACATACTGCTGACAAGCCTATGGGCACGCCTCATCACTCACCTTCTTTCATGAGCCTATTGTCCCTTTTATTTTTACATTGTAATCCAGTTGCAGGCACAAGGCATTATTTTAAACTCATAAATATTATTAACCCGCTGTTGTGGTTCAGTGGTGGAATCCACGTCTGCCACACGCGAGACCAGGGTTCAATTCCTGGACACACATAATGACAGCCATTGAGGCACTGAACATCCAGACTCAGTCTGGCCTTTGGTTTGTGTGTCAATGGTCTAAGTGTGCGATGGAAGGTCTGGGCATCCTCCACAGTCTTGCCTAGGCATATGCGTCAAAAGGTCTAGATGACCTCTCATGCATACACCATTATTCAGAAGGATCGACAGTTGCCTACTAAGAAACACTATTATGCTAACCCTAGGCTGTATTACCTCCCCAGGAGATGACATCTAAGAATTCAAGGCATCAAACCTTACGTTATTTTATAAGTACACTGCACAAAAACACAGACAGTACTTTTCACATACAAGAAGAAGATGCAGACCATCCCCAAGGTGTTTGCAAGCTAACTTTAGCACAATAAGACCTGACCCTAGGAAGATTGCATACTCTGCTATGGAACCGTTTGTTCTAAATTACCAGAACCATTTAAAGTTAGAAGCTGGGCATGGGACAGTATATTCTGCAAGATTTTTTAAAAAGTGAGTTCAAGGAGGGATTTAGAAGAAAGTTAAGGTGAATATGCTATTTCACAGAGGCAGGCTGTTATTCTACAGAAACCAGCCCTTAAATATAATAGCCTGCTATGTTTTTAGATACTGACAAGGTATCATTACAATATATAGTATTTCCTCTTTTAAGGAATTAGAATTCATTACGCAGAGAAAAATATATAAAATATGGATTAAACTGCCATTTTTTTTATTGAATTATTGGCAAAGTGGATCTTGCTCAATAAACTCTACTATTAAACTATGAAAGCAGACCGTTATAAAGATTGGGACAGCATTGCTACTAACAATTCTGAATTGCCAAGGACAAACTATTCTAAAGATCCAAGAGTTAATTCAAAATTTGAAAAGATATGTCCATAACAGCCAGTACACATGCAATTCTGGTTGCATGGACTAACCACGCAATTCCCAGTCGTTGGAATAAAAATGTAATCAACAATTTCTGGGGGCGCTTTGTTAACCTACTGATTTAAGATTAGCCAATTCCTGTTGCTACATCCAACAGAATAGGCTGACCTACTAGCTTGCTTATTTCATATTAAAAATCCAGGTATGCAAGTCTATGTTTTTTCATGCTGTTCTGAGCAAATAAATTCTGAAAAATGACTCCCTTAACTGGTCATCTTTTCTTTCCTCCAGCCACATGTTACTTTCTCTGCAAGTTAACAGAACAAAGTCATTGGATTAAAAAGAAATCTCATTACATATCAAAAAGAAAAATAAAGAAAGTTTCACCTCAGCCTCCACAGAAAAAGCATCTGTATCCCACACCACTATTCCTATATGTTCCTTATGAGACTAACAAAATGTCCAAGTGATTTTCTCAGCCCTAGACATTCATAAAAAAGTCTACTTCTCTTTTTTTCATAAAGAAATATCCTTTCATAGCAGGCACACAAGATCTTCAGTAGCACCCAAGAGAATTAACCAAAAAGTTGAGTTTTAGGAAGAGATGGTTGTACTACACTGTATATTGGACAATAAATTAAATTACTATAGAGACAATAAAAATAACAATCCATTCAGATATTTGTCAGTCACAGTAACCCAAAAGAAGCTCTGTTTATTGAGAAAATGCATTTTAAAACAAAGTAATGTATAGTATTGGCACAAATACCTGGGAGACTATTAAGTACTACTGCAAGGCTTTAAAATAAATTAGTTTCAGTCCCTATTTGAGTTAGAGGAATGAGACTTTCAAATGTCATTAGAAAGATTTTAACTTGTAAATTTCTTATAACACGAGAGGATTTAAAGCATCAAATCACTTAGTTTTACAGTAAATTAAGAACAGGAACTTTAACTTTTGCCTTCCATTCTTCAACTCTTTTGTCTCACTTTTTCCCATTTCAGATTTTAACCAATTTGTATTAATAATATCAGAAGAGATTATTTCCAAAACCCTAAAAGTAACAGCATCAGAACAGTCTAATAACTGACAGTACAGAGAACATACCAGCAGGAAAACTAACAGCCACCCACTAACAGTTTCTCTACATCGGAAAATAAATCCTCCTCGAGGATTAACAAAAGGGTAACATGTAGAAATGTTGTTAAGTGATGTCTGCCTGAGCTAACAGAGCCCTTCCTAAGAGGGGCACATTTACAGTGTTATTTGTAATAGTTTAAAGTAGGGGCGCACCAATAAGAGATTTTTGGGGCGATACCAATGGCCAATTTTTAAGGAGCCATAATCGGCCAATATCGATCCGATTCTGATATGCAGCTGGGCAGCTTGGAGACTAGCACTGGGCTGGGGGGGGGGGTGCACGAGCACAGACTGAGGCCCCCCGCAATGAGGGAGGGAGTAGGGCAGGGGCTGCTCAGCCTGGGCAGGGCAGAGGACGGAGCTGCAAACAGCTCATCCAGGGGG